AGTTTTGTCCATATAGGTAGCAGCATGGTGACAGTTTTATTCCAGAGTTTTCTGAAGCCCATTCTGTAAGTATACTGATTGTACAGAGGGTATGTAAGAAAGTCTATCTTTTTCTGTTTAAGCATTTATGAAGAACTTACTAATTGTCAAACACTAAGCTGAACATAAAGGTTTATGAGATGAAACACACACAAGGAGTCCACCATCTGGGATGGGGACATAGGCAAGTAAACAGAGTCCAGAGGACCAAGTGCTGGGGTAGATTAATGTAAAGGAAGCTTCTGGAATTCCGAGAGTGAGTTGGGGTGGAATGGGGTAACCCAGCCAACCCAGACTTGTGGGAGGGTCAGGGGAGATTGCCGAGATAAAGCTTGATCTGGTTTGCTGCAGAGAAGGGATCATTTAGCTACCCCCACCTCAGATCTGGACATGCTGTCACCCTCCTGCTGTGCCAGCCTCCACTCCCCACTCCTTGTCTCTCTCCCTGGTGGTGGTAGCGCAGCGGTTTGAGCACAGCGCTGTGAAGCTGTCTGCAGCCTCTGCAGCACGGGTTCAATTCCCTGCCGGCCAGGGAGAAACCCACATGGCCTGGCAGACCTCTCCTGTCTCTCCCACTGCTCCCCTCAGCAGTGTCTTTGGTCCGTCAACCTGTTCTGCTCCCCGCTCCATCTCTGGTGAATCCTCTCACCCTCCCGCACCTCTGACCTGTACCCTAGTTCTTGTATGAATAAATAAATCTTCAAAAAAATAAAAAAACACTCTACATAACCACAGTATCGTTATTAGAAGATTAGTAATAATATCCAAATATCATTTAATGCCAGTCCATGTTCAAATTTCTCAAATTGTTATATGATATTGGAAATCATATATGTTGATTAAAATATGTAAATAAATGCACATGGTGGTCCTAGTGGAATCCTATTTCTGCCAGCCAGGCCTTCATATAGTACAGGCTCATAGGCTCTTTCCTTTCAAATTATTTTATTTCACTCTAGAATGCTGCTCCAGGAAGATGCAGTTTGCCAGTGTGACAGTAGGGGGCACCATGAGCCCACACTGCTATTTGCCAGCTCTGGTGACTTTCCCTAGTTGCCAGTGGATGCCCAGATGTCTAGGTCGTTTCCACTGTGTCACAGTTGTACCTGAGATTTCAGGGTGCACTCATGACTACACAATGTCACCAGTCTCCTTATGGGAAGTTATAAAGACTTCAAGGAAAATTTATTCCATTAAACATCAGCTCTCAAAACTGTGCTGTGAAATCAAATAAGCAAAAAGCTATAATTAACTGAGCAAAGTACTTAAAGGAAATGACCAAAGTACGTAAAGGAAAAAATAATAATTTTGAAGATGGATTAAAAGTCAAATTGTTAGTACTTAGCCATAATTCAACCATTATGTACAAATTTTTACAGTATCAAAGTATACATGTACATCGTTAAAAGAAAAATAAAGCAAACAGAAAGGGTTTTTTAAAAATCATTTGTTTTCCCTCTTTCATTTCTTCCCTCCTACTTGACAATCACTATTTGAATACTACCTGGTTTTAGTTCTAGATGTTACTCTCGTAAATTTCTTTTCCTAGTCCTTGATTCTTAACTTTAGAAAGTATCTGTTGACTTCTAACAATAATAGAGTAGAGGGCCTCCCTAGTGGCACAAGGGGTTAAGTCTCAGCACTGTAGAGCTACTGGCAGCCACTGCAGCATGAGTTTGATCCCGGCCAGGGTGCTACCCACATGGCCCAGCAGGCCTCTCCAGTCTCGCCCACTGCTCCCCTCAGCAGTGTATTTCAGTAGATCTGACTGTTCTGTTCCCTACTCTGTCTCTGGTGAATCCTCTCACCTCCCACCCCCACATCTCTGGCCTACACCCCAATTCTTATATGCATAAATAAAATAAATCTTAAAAAAATTCAAAAAAATAATAGATTAGAATTTCATTCACTTATACTGAATCACTTTTCCTCTCACAATTTTACTCACAGCTATATTATTGTTTCAAATGACTTTAATTGGGGTATAGGCCAGAGGTGCGGGGGATGAGAGGATTCACCAGAGACAGGGTGGGGAACAAACAGGCAGATCTATTGAAACACACGGCTGAGGGGAGCTGTGGGAGAGACAGAAGTCTGTTGTGCAAGTGGGTTAGCACCCTGGCTGGGGATTGAACTCCTGCTGAAGATAGCTTAATAGTGCTGAGAATCCCTTGTGCCACCAGGGAGGTCCCTATGTTCATTGATTTTAGAGAAAAGCTTTGGGCTTCCCACAATGTACACTGAGAATATCAGCATCTCTACTCTTCTCCGCCTCCTCTCCCTCCTTCCAGCTCTCCACCTTTGCTTTTACGCAAGCACAGCTGATAACATTTTCACTGTGTTCTATAATCATCAAGCTCTCCCTGCTGAGCAGCACCTAAAAGATGACAATCAGTAAGCCATAATCATGACAGCTATGGAAACACTGTTCGCAGAAAAGCCCAGTTGTTTGAGCAATGATTGTTTTCTTCTCCTTAGATGCAATGTCATACTCCCTGTGCCACTTAGAGTGTGTCTAGCATTAAGGCATAAAAATTCTCTTTTTTCATACTTTGCTTGAAATCATGGTATAACATACTTGGCTCCATTTAAGTATTAGGAATTTCTTGCACTACCACATTTTTTTCTTTGGATTTTCTAAATTCCTTTTTAAAAAAGATTTATTTATTTATGCATACAAGAACTGGGGTACAGGCCAGAGGTGCGGGGGTGAGAGGATTCACCAGAGACAGAGTGGGGAACAGAACAGGCAGACTGACTGAAATACACTGCTGAGGGGAGCAGAGGTGAGACAGGAGAGGTCTGCTGAGCCATGTGGGTCACTTCCCTGGCCGGGGATGGAACTCGTGCTGTAGTGTCTGAGGATAGCTTCACAGTCCGAGACTTATCCCTTTGTGCAACGAGGGAGGCCCCTCTAAAAGAAGTAACATGCTTTTGCAATCAGATCTCCTTCCCACCTACTTCCCCTCACCCTTTGCCCCCCAGCTTATTTTACCTTAGAATCTAGGCTGTTCTTGATGATATTTTTTTTTTTTTTGCTGCCCACAAACTTCCTTTGATACTTTCCATAGTTCTCATCCTGGTTTGGTTCCTCCATGGCTTATATCTCATATCATTTTTACCCCTTGGGTACTCCCTGTTCTATTTGAGCACATCCTCAGGTAACCTCTTATGAAACGGTATATAGCAAGCAAAGTTTACCTTTATGAGAATGTATTTATCTGCTTTAATTTTAGATAAATGTGCTGGATATTAGAGAATTCTAAGTCTTAAATACTTTTCCTACAGCATTTTGGGAATCTTTCCTTTTAGCAAGATTCTATTTTCATCCTCTTCCTCAGTTTTCTCCCTTTTACGTGCAGACTCCAATCTAAACACTCTCTGGGCCTGTCAGGCAGAGTCTCCACTCCCCAGGAGCCCAGTCTGCACACAACCCTGTATGTGTCTACCCTCTCTGTGTATAAGTTAACATCCTCTTTCCATCTCTTAGAAATCTGTTGTAATCATTCAACTACTGATGCTCAACCATCCCTCATTTTTTTTTTATCACTACAACAAGATAATGGGAAAGAAGAAACACAAACCTACATGCTCTGCTCACCTCTGCATCTGGAACCTGTTTTACATAAATTTGTTTTTCCTTGCCTTTTTGTTTACTTGTTTTTATAAATACCAGAGTTGTGTTTAACTCTATTTTGCTAAACACACGGAAATGATATTTAGGGATTACTAACATATGAACTGATGTTTGGGCTGAAAAAGTAGAGTAAGTCCTTCATTATCCTTAGTGATAAATTCTTAGAAATTGAGAATTTCAGTGAAACTACATATAATAAAATGGTTTTGTTCAATGCTAGTACAGATTGTTTTCTCAATGATGTCATAACCAAAAGGACACAGAATGAAATGACTTATTCAATAACCTGCTACATATAAGGACTGTGTGCCTGATATAGTTAGAGGATACAGCCCTGGTTATTTCTCAGAATAAGTACTTATTCATTTACAATCTTCCTAGAACTTCAGTTTATATAGAAAACTACTAATAAGCATTAGTTCCATTCCTAATGAGTTTATAATTTCTTTTTTTTAAAAAAAGATTTACTTATTTATTTATACAAGCACTGGGTAGTCAGAAGCGCGGGAGGGTGAGAGAATTCACCAGAGCCAGAGCGGGGAACAGAATAGGCAGACTGATGAAATACACTGCTGAGGGGAGCAGCGGGTGAGACAGGAGAGGTCTGTTGTGCAATGTGGGACCCTTGTCGGCGGCCGGGGATTGAACCGGCGCTGCAGAGGCTGCGCCACCAGGGGAGGCCCAGTTTATAATTTCCAAGCACAAAACAGATACAAACATTTATTATGACCAACTAAAGAGCAAAGCCAGTGAGGAATAAATAATGTCAATAAACAAGGGAAAGATTCACAAGAAACTCTCATTGTTGATTCTACTAATTTGTTCATACAAAAGCTTATCTTAATAAGGTCATCACAACTATAAAAGAATGGCAATAATTAGTCTTCCAAAGAATATGTGTAAGTTTTAAGTATCTTGCCTTTCCTATAAGGACTGAAGATTCGTAGCAGGACTGAGGATAGTAGAGTTTTCAGATCACTTAGTCACAGAACATCTAATTTGAGATCAATGATAGTGACCTTCATATAACAGCTGGGCTGGGCATGGCAGGTGTCTGGGTGCACACAGCAGGGAGCAGAGGCAGCAGAGAGGCAAGGTTCCCTCAGCAGAAAACCAGACTTTGCACTGACAGTAACTGGAGAGGGCACGCTTGGATTCCTGGACCTATCCAGGAAAGGGATCTGGGGAGGGAGGATTTTCTCATGCAAGAAGACATTAATTTGTCCTTGTCACCAGGTCATATTAATTTCAATATTAAAGAATTAGAGGAAAGTTGGACATACAAATCATGCAGCCACAAAATTCTGTTGATTCTCTCCCTTAGGAAGTTGAGTTGGGGGAAGAAAATGAAGTTGTCTGGGAAACTTAGCTGGTCACCACAGCAGGAGCAGGGACCCACTCCTCACGCTACCGGCCATTTGGGAATAGAAGCAACCTCAGCCCTGCCCTGAGCCAGCAAGTGAATCTTGAGGTAAACCCTAGCCTCTGTAATTCTCACTAGTCAGATCTGTCTAGGCTTTAGCAATCTCACCCACAAATTAATTGGGTTTGGCACCCATAAAGAAATGGGAACTGGCATCCACAGAGCATAGAGATGGAATGGAAAAGCTTATCACTTCTTTAGGAATGTGAACACTGCATTGTCTGGAGAGAGATAAACCAAACTGGTGCTTAGGAAAATCTTTGAGTGGACTTAGGGGAAGGCTTCTCTTTGTGAGTAAAAGGTACAAGCCCTGTCAGATACTAATTAAGGAAGACAGCAGTTATTAGCTTCGCCAACCCTGCCGAACTCGGACCCTGTCTAGAAAACTAAATAACTGACAATGCCCCGCTAGAGCCCTAGTTGTAATACCTCTGGGCCACTTGTGTTTTTCTCCCCATGGAGAATTATGCTCTGCTCCAGAATTATGATCAGCACCAGAAAGCTGATCCTTGGAGAGCCAGTCATGCTTCCATTTTGGTCATGCGTGTGGTATCTCGGGTGCTGCTCAGGTCTTCTTTTTTTTTTTTAAAAGATTTATTTATTTATTTATATGAACACTGGGTACAGTCAGAAGCGCAGGAGGGTGAGAGAATTCACCAGAGCCAGAGCGGGGAGCAGAGCAGGCAGAAGGACCGAAGTACACTGCTGAGGGGAGCAGCGGGTGGCGGGAGAGGTCTGCGCACCATGTGGGACCCTTGCCCGGCGGCCAGGGATAGAACCGGCACTGCAGAGGCTGCGGGCAGCTTTGCAACCCAGCGCTCAACTGCTGCGCCACCAGTGAGGTCTGCTGCTCAGGTCTTAATACTGGAAGGAGTAAGCAGCAGGCTCATGTCCTGCTGCGAGAATCGCCCCTCCGCACACAACAATATGCCTCTAGACCAGCTCTTGAAAAACCAGTGCTTTATTTTTTATTTTTTTTTTTAACAATACATTTTTCCCCCAAGATTTATTTATTTATTTATTTATTTATTTATTTATTTATTTATTTATTTATTTATTTATTTATTTATTTATACAAGCACTGGGTACAGTCAGAAGCGTGGGAGGGTGAGAGAATTCACCAGAGCCAGAGCAGGGAACAGAACAGGCAGACTTGATGAAGTACACTGCTGAGGGGAGCAGCGGGCGCGGCAGGAGAGGTCTGCGCGCCATGTGGAACCCTAGCCCAGTGGCCAGGGATTGAACTGGTGCTGCAGAGGCTGCGGGCAACTTCGCAGCCCAGCGCTCAACCGCTGCGCCACCAGGGAGGCCCAAAACAGTGCTTTATACGAGGAAAGAAAACTAAGTGAATATGTCTCTCCCTCACTCTAAACCCACAAAATAAACACACTTAGATGTTGACTAGTTGCCAACAGTTGCAAATTCCACAGCACGGAATCATTTGCCAAGAATCATCTTCTGTCATTTCAACTGCGAGTGAGGTTGAGGGGTGCAATGTTTGCTTGCATGCAGGTAGTTTTTTAATTAAAGAAATTTTTTTGTTGTATCATTTTTAATTGAAGTAACATTGGTTTGCAACACCATGTGATTTAGGGGACTAGGTTCACACCTCTTCAGATATAGGTCAACGTCTACACTTACCACACTGGTACCTTTCAACAGCCAGAGTGTGCAAGGAGATAGAGGCAGCCCAGACTCTGTCCACCCTTCCTGAGTAGCTGACAGAGGGTTCCAGAAGGTTAGACTAACACTATGAATAACCTGAAAGTCAGGCTAGACCAGGCTCCAAGGTTAAACCACTGACCCTCCAGGGAAGCCAGCTCAGTCGAGTGTTAAATAAATGTGCCCTAAAAGAAACTGACCCTCAGTGAGGTCATCTGCACAGTGGTTTTAGAGAAAGTCAAGTGGACTTTGACTTGAATGGATGACGTTTTGAATAACATGCTGTTTGTGGGATTAAAACTTGTTGCTTTAAAAACGAATCTTGGCAAAACTTTCTGGGTTAGCACTATCTTCCCTTGGCCTGAGTTTGTCAGATGTGCAACTTGAATCACTGGTTATCTGATCACAAATCAGGTGGAGATTTACTAAGAACTCAGGCGATTTGTTTCAACAGTTGCTACAAAATAGCTGGATGTGAAGCTCTTTGTGGATGTCAAACTGGCAGATCAGAGCTTAGGTTCTTTTGATGTTTTGTCATTTGTTTTACAAATTTATTTTACAGAAGAATAGATACTTTGAGAGTTCACCAATGCAAAGTGTGTAAAGTATTATACAAACCCACAAATCCAGGGTTTATCTGTCAGGAGTTTAGAGTCCCACGTAATGAAAGTTTCCATGCTACTATTCCTGTCCTATCTACCTCCTTCCTCCCTTCTTTCCTTTCTTTTCTTTCTTCCTTCCAGGTGGTTTTACTAAGTCTTAGTGGAAGCAGGAAGGAAAAGGAAATAAATCACCTTCTTCAGTGGGTGGTTCTTGATCTGACCCAAAGCTCTTTGTCTCTGACCTGCAGTGAGAAGCACCTGCTTGTAGGTCATCTGACATCAGTTACCCCACTAGTCTCAATCATGGGCCTTTCCGGAGCTCCTCAGGCAGACACTCTAACTCAGCACACACAAACATGATGCCATGTGGCCTCTGGGTCTATAGGCAGGGGCATAACCCTCTCATTAGTCAGGTCTAGAAAAATCAAATCACTTAGAATCACTCTGAAAATAGAAAAACACATACCCCCCGGATTGTCTCATTTACATTTTTTAAAATGTTTAAAGTATAATTTTAAAATAGCATTTTTAAAAAGACCTTGAAAAAGCAATTCTGGGGAAGCTCCTGTTGTCAACATTAGCTTCTTTGAAAATGGACATAGTTTTGTTTACAAGACAAGTTTGGATCAAGAGCCTGCAGACCCGTCCCTGCTGGCATGTCTGTCACTCGTTATCTGTGGCCTTGAGTTGTCAAACCTCCCTGTAAAAGAGGACTGTACCTTAGATAATTGATTAGCGGGCACTCACCTCTATCCTGATGGCAGGATGCTGGGACAAGCCGACCACTGCTATCTGGTAGAGACTCCTCAATACCGCTACCGTTCTCTGTTGCTGCTGGAAAAGAAAGTTCATGAGCTGCAAAGGGGAGAGATAAGAGAGCAGGATGTGAGGTGTGAGAGGGGTATTTACTACTAGACACTCGTCACCTCCTCTTTTTTGCTTAAAATGAATGTAAATGCTTGTACATGTATTAATTAGCTCTTGTCTCTCTCTCTCTCCATGGGTTTGTAGGGCATGGGGATAGGTAAGTCCTTGGCCTCTTTATGCTTATTTGAAACTACTAGTCTGGAAGGCAATCACAATTGAAGCTGGATCAGTCTTTAACATATGGAACTGGGGGCCTTCCTGGTGGTGCAAGGGGTTAAGCACCTCACTATGAAGCAATCCGAAGCCTCTGCAGCACGAGTTCCATCCCCGGCCGGCCAGGGAGCTTCCCACATGGCACAGCGGACTGCTCCTGTCTCGCCCGCTGCTCCCCTCAGCAGTGTATTTCGTCAGTATGCCTGTTCTGTTCCCCACTCTGTCTCTGGTGAATTCTCTTGTTAGGGAGAAATGATGTCCTGAGCTAATCCCATACAGGCTTTGTGGACTCCACTCCCACTCCAGACTAAAGCCATCAAGACATTGGAAAAGACAAATCCCGTCACCACCAAAGGGAAGGTGGCTGGGACCTGAGGGTGGAGTTAAGCAGCCAGGTTGGGTATAAAAACCAAACACTTGGGCCTTGGGCTGGCTCGCTGTCGCTCGCCTCTTGGCTTCAGGGCTCCTGGCTTGCAGCCAGCTCTCAGAGCGCCATTTTGGGATTCCTGATCGACGGATCGGGTAGGACTCATTTAAAACTTTGTCTCCCACTTTTCTCCCTGAGCTGTACATTTCCTCATTTCCCCTTCCCTTGTAAATAAACCTTTTATTAACCTTTCGCGTGTGCCTGCAGTAGAGCATTGATAAGTCCTTTTAAGTGCGCGGGTGAGGACCCACAGTCAGGCACCCCGTTTTGTATCGGGGTTGCTCTACAACACTCTCACCCCCCATACCTCTGGCCTGTACCCCAGCTCTTGTATGCATAAATAAACAAATCTTTTTTAAAAAAAAGGAACTGGAAGAAAGTTATCTAAGTACAAACTTTACATAATATATCTAGAGGAAGGAAGGCTATCTCTTTCTTTTAAAACCTAGGAAATGTCTTTCCCAGAAGTTTCTAGGTCCTTTCCTTGTACGTCATTGGCCTGAATCATAGCACAGTTTCATTCCTGAATCACCACTGGGTCCAAGGGACTGGTCTTACTTGAGAATTACCAGCCCTTCCTTGGAAGGGTCATCCTTCCTTGAAACCCCAGGCTGTGTTGGGTGGATATAACTTCATAAAACTTGATAAAAATCAGAGAACTATTATGAACAGATAAAAGAAGAATGAATGTTTGGCTAGTGAACAAAAATATCCACTGTAATTTTCTTAGATACCCTTTCAGAAAACTTTATCTGGTGTTTATTTTATTGAGAACACTAGCAGTACTAATGCTAGTGCATGACTAGGGGGGACCCAAGGACCCCCAAGTTGTGAAGGGGTGCATGCTCTGAAAGGGATTTGGACATTTACATGCACAAAGGCAAAGAAAGCAGACAATATAAAAGATTTTTACTAGAGTTAGTGCATAGAGAGAGAAGAGAAGATATTCCTAACAAAATGCTGAAAATTACCTATCCCTCATGGACAACTCCCCAGCCAAACAGGTTCAGCCTGAAGCAGGGGACAGGGAAGCCTGACAGCTTGTCACAAGTCTAAGGTTCCTTCTGACAGGGAACCACCAGAAAGGGATTAAGCATGTTCTAGAGAGCTGGGACAGAAGGCTCAAAATTCAAAATCAAAATACAAATCAAGATAACAGCAGATGGTCTCTGCAAAAGACAGTCTCCCCATGTGTCTTGATATGTCTCCTGACCCCATAGCTCCTTCAAGTTCCTAGGTGCAAGCTAAAGCTGGAGAAGCAAGAGAGTGGGCTTCTC